TGCTTATCTAAGTTAAGGAGGTCTAACAACCTTCTGGGACATCCTGAGGATAAAATGAAAATACAGATCTGAAATGTTTTGTAAATCTGAAGTCATTATGTAAAAGTAGAGAGCTTTCTTCCCTCCCTGTTTTTTTCATTTGCATAAAATTGTATCTTCAGAGTTGGCTTAACCAACTCTGCTAACCCAGCCAAGATCATCTAGAACCTAGAGATATCATTTGGTCATATATTATATACATCTAGTTTCTTAAGATTTATTTTTATTCTTAATTATATGTATGCATGTGTCTGTGTGGAGGTATGTGCATGTGAGTGTGGGTGCTACCCACACTATGGAGGCTGTGGAGGCTAGAAGAGGGCATTGGATCCCCTGGATCTGGAGTTTGGGCTCAGGTTTCAGGCTGTGAGCCACCTGGCATGGGTGTTGAGAATGAAACTCAGGTTCTCTGCAGGAGCTGTATGTGCTCTTAACTGCTGAGCCATTTCCCCATCCCTTTACCTATTTCCTTCTATCTATTCCTTACTGTTTCTTCAATCAGCTGAGTTGTGGTACAGGTTCCCCCTGCTTTCAATTACCTTGAAGAACATCACTCTGCTTTGTGCCTACCATGATGGCTGTCAGCTAGATTTGCCATCTGCCCCCTGAACTGCATTGTAAATGCACCAAGGCAACATTTTCAGACATGGCCTTGCATATTGATGGCTTTAACACTCATCAATGAACTGGGAAGCCCTGATTTCACACATCCTCAAGAGGACTAACCTCACCCTACTTGACTAGTCTATCATAATCATTCCAGTTCTGGATCCTGCATTCTATCAACTTCTTTCACTGTCCACATGGGTTCTGCCTCAACTCCCAATGCTCAACTTTCTTTCTAAGACCCTGAATAGAATACGGGGAACATAGGGAATTCTTTCACTGTCCACATGGGTTCTGCCTCAACTCCCAATGCTCAACTTTCTAAGACCCTGAATAGAATACGGGGAACATAGGGAGTGTAGATGGTGGTCAGGTGGATGATGGTACAGTTGGGTGGGCAAGGACGACAAGAGGAAGGAAAGGATGGGTGATAAGGCTGGCCAGGTTATTGGTATGCTACCCTGAAAACTGAACCCAAACTTCAAACAGGGACTTCCTCTCCAGAATTTACAAACAACTCTCCACCAGGGATTACTTGACGTCTCACCAAGTTGGCAATTCATTCCTCTTTTCAAGGGGTTGATAAACATGGTGTGGGCTGGCCTCTCCTCTTTTCTGCTCAGTCTTAGGATGAAAGGCAGATGAGGGAGGCGGGGCATGGCTCCTCCCCATTTACAAGTCAGCTGCCACCAAATGCACTGCCTCTTCCCCCCTCTAAACTAAACAGTAGTTTTTCAAGCAGATGAATAAGAAGAAAAGTGACAATTTTCTTTTATGTTAATAAATTGCTTTGGCCTAAAAAACATTAATCAATTTCTTTCCAAAGCACACACACTTCTCAATACTCTGCTATTTGGTTGGCCTTGAAAAGAAAGTCACTTTCAATCCCCTTTAAACTGTCAAGACCAGTGGGGGCAGACACAAGAGGAGAGAAGGGTGCTCCTTAAATCCCAGTGATTATAATGGAACCCTGCTGTGTTTCCATAGAAACATAAGGATGCATTCTTCCCTGAATGTACACGAGGGGAGATGTGAAGAGCAATGCTGTGGGCCAGGTATACAATGACTGAAGAACTGGAGGTACAGGTGAGGCAGCATGCCATTCCGAAGAGATGAAGACAAAGGACTCAGTGAAGAAGAGAGGAATGGGTAGGGACCATGCTCCACATAGAGCATCAGGACCTGTTAGGGTCTCACATCAGCACAACTACCCAGCAGGGCTGCTGTTATAATTCCCACATGCAGCTGAGTCCTAGGGAAAGAAGAAAGTTGCTCAGGGTCACCCAGCCAGTAAATGGTACAGCCTCAGTCCAAACCCAGAAGAGCTCAACTCAAAAGCCCTTGCTCCAGCCTCTGTACTGGGCAGCACTTTGAGTTGTGAAGAGAAGACAGAGTTCACATTCCATCTCCTGTCCCTTTTCTTCCCTGGTCTGCAGGTCTGGGTGCATTCTGGAATCACCCAGAAAATAGCTTTTTTAATAGGTCTAGGACATTTGTAAATCTTGGAAAATACAGGTGGTTTGTTATTGCTTGTTTGCTTTGTTAGGCAGTCAGAAACTTCACATATAAGGCAGGAAAACAGCTAATGGTACATGTGTGTTCAGATAATTTGGTAGGAACACAGGGATGAAGGCCTGGAAAAGGGGGAGAGTTGACAGAAACATGAAGCATATTTGGATTACCTATCTCAAACACTGGACTTGACAGACACACTCAGTCTGTGGCCCCGCTGATGGGCCTCCTCTCTGCCCTATCTCAAATACTGGGGAGCAAGTCACAGGGACAGTGTCCTGGTCTGCCTAGCTCTATCACTGGAATTTAGCACCATGTTGGGATCAGAGTTGATGGATGGGTGGATGGAGAGATGTGGGTGGATGGATGGATGGATATGGATGGATGGATGTGGATGGATGGATAGATGTGGATGGATGGACAGATGGATGGATGGGATATTCTGTACCAGACAGCATGGAGAGTCTTAGACGGAGCTGGCATTACCCATTTGCTTTGCCTCCACCTTGTGCTCTACAATGAAGATTGGTTTTCTGTCACAGTGTGCAAGTCAGGACTATTTCAGGAGACAGAACTGTGAATATGGATGTTCCTAATCAGTGAAACATGCATGACCCCAGTGTCATAAGGCTGAGAATTAGCACTTGCAACTTACTGCTTTAAACTCCTTTGGTGCAATGCAGAAGTCATCTGAAATGGCTGTTCTCCAGCCTCTGGATCCACCTCCCAAGTTTCCTCTGGGGAGAAGGAGGTGCAAGTGGTGTAGACTGAAACCCAAGACGATGCAGAATACAATACTGACCTTGCAAGCATGAGACGTGTGGTGTGCGTTTGGTGCCTATGGCCACTGATCTGACAAAGTATGGGCTCTGACAAGGACTTCGACTGCTTCATATATGGGCTTGCATTTACTAGGGGCACAGATTCACTGGTCTAGCAAGAGAGGAGGCCAGCCAGAGTGCTGATCTATCTACCAGTCCTTTCTCAGCATCTAGAACAGGACCTGGCACATGGATAATGTCTGCTGAATGCCTGGGTGAACATGTGGTGCCTACTCTGTGCTGCATGTTGAACATGTACCTGTTGTCTACACTTGCCTATGATCCTGGGAATGGGTACCACGTTCATTCAGCATAGGACCACTCTACTACTTGAGAACAGGGAAATGGCTTTCCAGGATCTTGTAGTTGATAAGCTCTGGAGTTTTGCTTTGAAAAACACAACCTGATCTTCATCCATTATATAGGTCACCCTGCCATCATTATGTCCCTGTAGAGAGGAACAGAAAGAAGGGATGTCCAAAAAGGAGAAGAGAGTCTGGTTGAAGGTTATTGATACCTTCTCCTGCTGGCTACATGACAGGCCTGTCTCTCCTATCTCACAATGCTTGAGGACAAGGCTGTATTTGAGGCTTCTCTCTCAAACATGTGACAATTATGATTTACTTTTACAGCAGTGCTAACTCTGATCCTGAACTCTGGGAGGAGTCAAGGAATTAGAGACAAGGGCAGATGACCTTTTAGTGATAGCTGCTTTTCAGACCTTTCTGGGCAAAAAGGCCTCTGTGAGTCACACTATGTCCCAGAGCAGTGTGGAGTGTTTTTTTTGTTGTTGTTGTTGTTGCTGTTGTTTGGCCTTCCTTACACAACATTCCCTCTCCCCCTGCTAAACAAGGAGCATGCTCTGTTTTTTATGACTGCATTTCCGCCTTTTCCTACAGTTCTGTGCCGGCTTCTCTTCTGTGGACCTCCTGAGAGTGTAGGTAACAAACACATGGCACTGAAATGTCTCCACAGAAGGAAAGTAAATGGATGAGGACAGAGGCTGGGCAGGACTGCCTGACAGAATTGGTCTAGTTCTCTAGATTCAAGCAGAGTGAGGGGCAGGTAGAAGGTTCCTGACACCTGTTTAGATCCTTCTTGGGTACAGAGCATTCAAGAGGGCATCAAGTCCCTCTCCCAGATCCAGACTCTTCACTGATTCTATGCTTCAGGGACGTCTGGGAACCTTGGTCCTACATGGCCTCATGTTTACCTCATAAAACTTTGGGGTAGTCACCAGGACACAGCTAACAGATATACTGTATACATTAATGATTCCAAAACACACAAATAAAATAGAAAGAGGAGGTGCTGTCCATACCCAGGAGAGTATTTAAATCTATCTTTACTAAGAAATACTAGGAAGCAGTCATGGGTATAACTGCCCAAGACACATTGCTGAGTTGAAAGACAATTCAAAGAGCACAGTGTTGGTGGCAATGATGTTAATGATGATGCCAACGCAGTAACAGGAGCTATGGGAGCTAACATATACAAAAGGTTTACTGCATGCCAGGTTCTGCTCTGTGCACATCACTCTAACATCCTCTTATTTTACACATATTAATTCCAAAGAATGCATCAGAGTTAGGTGCCATTATGGCTGATATTTCATAGATGAGGAAACTGACCTTGGTTTTATAATGCATACCTTTGTATTGCCTACATATTTCTAATGAGGTAGCTTCCATGAATAATGTAAAGAACAGCACAACAACTAAGAAGACTAAACAAAGGTGAGAGAGAGAGAGGCTGGATCTACTATAGACTGGTCATACCACAAGGCAACCACACTCAATGCTTACTTATCAATATCCCTGTGAGGTAGTATTAAAGGCACTAATTCAATCAAGGAGGAACTGGAGACTGAGAGGTGGCCTCTTTCTCATGAGGCACAAGGTCCCCACAGACCCAGTTACTCGATCCCAAGGCTCTGCTTTTCTGTGCTTTGGGTAACTGGTGATGCTAAATCAGTGTGTGCTGATCTGAATTTACTTTCTGTTCTTCCTCTCTGTCTTCCAGTGTAGAGTATGATTTCCGGCAGCAGGAAGGCAGGTTCCACGAGGTTCTACAGAGTTTGGAGGAAGTGGAACCGGCTGAGGCAGCAGCATCGCCACCAAAGTCTCCAGCGGAAGCCCCAGTCCCTGAGAAACAGGACCTACGGCGGAAAACCAAAAAGGTGAAGAAGAAATGCTTCTGGTGGATCTGAAAGGATTGGGGCCTTCCATGTTCCTTCCTGAGATGGGTGCCCCCTGTTCTCAAGGCCTCCCTGTTCCCCAGCAAAGGCCCAGGCTGAGCCCCTTGACCTGTGATACAGGAGCCCCTCAGAGCTGGTATGGCCACTGTTGGACATCTGGTCACCAACCTTACCTGAGTGTGTGTCATGCCATTGCTTGCTGAGGACTTTGTGGACACTGGTATGGCCACAAGCTGAGCTCCCCGTCACATATGGCCAGGCCACATCCTCATCTGCTAAGTGCAGATTCTCACCATGAACAAACCTCCACTACACTTCCCCACACCTCCATGACTCAAGCACTTCCTTCCTACCTTGAATTCACCAACCCCAAAGAAACATAAATATGTGTTGTGCACTGCAGAAAGTTAAAAACTAACTGTATAGCCTAGAAAATATCAGATAATAAACTAGCCATGTTCTAGGACTCAGTGCACAGAAGGACAACAGACGTGATCAGTGCCTACAAATGCTAGATCACCCTGGAGTGTTGAGTTTCCATCACTTTCCACTAGCCCTTAGATTCCAAATGAAGGGGCTGTCTTCTTGTGAAGTGTGGGTCATGCAGGGTTCCAAGAGTAAAGTGCCCACAGGACCTGCAGTGTGAGAGTTATGTGGGACTGGAATTCAAAAGGGTTTCATGGCTGTAGCTTTCCTAGGGCCACCTAAATGATTTTGTGTCTCTGAATGAGGCCTAAGACTCCTTAGCAAGTCAGGGAAACCGGACAGGCATGAACTTTAGGGCTCCATAGTTTATTTACCTGCAGCATTGATGATAAGACTCGGTAGCCTGTCAGTACATCTTGTGACATTAATAAGTCTGTGATAAAACAGCACTTTTTCTTGTCCATTCACCCCATAACAGTCATGAAGATAGGTCCAAACATGTTACTCTACATTGTTTCCCTTCCTGGTGACCAAGCTACGGTCACATGATCTAGGAAGCAGCAGGGCTGGAAATGAGAATCTTGTTCTCATCATTTTAGGATGAAACTTCTTTCTTGCCCAAAGTCCGACCTCTTTAATATCTGGCTTATTCTTTCAACAACACGGCCATACATGGATGTCCAGTCAAACCGGCATGGCTGAACACACTTCTAAAGTAAGTAGTACAATTAAGTAATTGCTGCATACTCTCGGACTGAGCAGTAGGAAGGGCAAGGCTTGGATCCCTTTCCATTGAGTTCAATTCTCTGCCAGCCTGTGATTAGATTGGCACTGCCAGAAAACTGAGTCACACCTAAATGAAGACATCTCACAACCCCTTTGCTGAAGACCCTGTGTCTGAGTATCTCTGCTGAGCACAGCATACATGTGCACTTAGGATGTACGTACCCAACTGCAAAGTGAGACTAACTGAGCAAACCGTCCTAACAGTTTCACTTCCCCTGTCACAGTGCTGCAGTGTAAAAGCTATTTCAGGGAGAGCGAGGGAAATTTGGCAAGGAATCTTGGCTTGCACTATTTAAGTCTTGGAATGTCATTCGAGATGTTCTTGTTCTGTTTCTAGTGTAATGTTTAAACCCACAAAGTGAGACCAGAATACATAATGTCAAGTTAGAATTAAGATAAATACACTTGTCATACTTAAGAAACCACATTTCAGTAAGATATGCTACCCCTGGCCAAGTGCCACAGATCTATCTTTCTGTATCCATACAATCAGCTTTCAGTTGGCCCCAGCAATGGAAAAGAACAGCACAGGGGATAAGCCAATAAAAGGAAGACCATTTGGGATCTCTTATGTAATTTTATCTGGTAGTGGAGCTTCCATCTTAATTTGTTTTGCTTACACTAATTTTAAATGAATTTATATTCTGGAGTATCAGGCTAGAGTGAAAACACATCTGATCTTAGATTTCAGAGACCCAGGAAACAACAGCCCCTTCCACTAACCTGGAGCAAAAGGTGTAAATGTGTCCAATCTTGACTGGGGAGAAGAGTAACTACTCCACTTGCTTTCTAAGTTCTGTACACCTTCAAACAATGGGGTGTAAGCAGTTAGATCTAGCTGCAGCCTTTGCCCCCTGCTAGCCTGCAAAGATGAGATGTGTAAAATAATTCACACAGGGCAAGTTGGGGACCTTGTAGAAACCCTCATCTGAATTAAACGGAATTAGGATTGGAAAGTGTTGACATTCCTAGAAATAAAACCAACTATGGTTGTAATCATTCTGAACCAAAGCACAACACCACATTGCTTGGGCCATCAACCTGAAATGGGGAAAGGAGGAGGTGCCTTTGGAAAATGGAATCCTGAAAATCGTTATGTGGAAAAAGGATTGGATAAACAGCAGCCTGCTAACCAGAAAGGATCATCCCTATGTTTAAAGAAACCGTACACATACATACCCAAACTCTATACTCTGCTACTTGTGAGTACCACAGCTTCTTTGTAAAATAGTAAGCAATGTGTTATCCTGCTGAAATGCTTTACTTGAGGTTACATGGTTTTATGGAGTGAGATTAATTTAGTAAAAATTACTTTTATAAAATGGAACAGAAAAAGATTGATATATCAACTTAAATTGCAGGAGTTTAATGCAGCTGCTTTCTCTGTAGTTAAAAAACAACAACATTCATTCACTTCCTCTGAACTTAATACCAGCTCATCTGTAGAGCACCTTCTTAAAGACAATGCATCACTGTAAGATTTTGTAAATTTCTAAACTGTTTTAAATGGGATATTATCTTTTGCAATAAACTTACGTATTTTTCCTAGGTTTTAAGACTCCATTATTAGCTTGGGTTGACTTGGGTTAAGAAATTTTAAGTCAAGGAGGAAGCCACAACAACCCCAAAGCAAAGGTGGCATTTGTTACAATTCTTTAACACATTTCTCAGGAATAAACAAAAATCAGATCCAGAACTCGATGTCACAGTGATCACACATGCCTGTGTCCCGGGAGCAGAGAAGGGACAGAAACCAGGGCCCATTCTCAGCTGTGTTCAAAGGCCTCCAGTTCCCATTCCTGCATGACCTTACATTCAGACATGTGGCTGTAGCTTAGTCAATATTTTTCTTTAATTACTTTCTGTTTAACATTTTCTTTAAAAGATACCTTTGTGTCAACAGTACCAGGAAAACTAGTATCACATTCCTAAAATAAAGCATGAGACAAATAATAATTTCATTAAACCTACAAGTGTTTACACTTTTGAAGGGTGAAGAGTTCTAAGTGTGAGATCAGCTCATCTGTAGAAAAGGGATATTAGCAAATATTCAATGTGTTCTAAAGATACGTTAATACCAAACCTATTTTCTCCTTGACTAATCAGGGTGTTTGAGGGAGAATTGAAAACAAAACAACTTTCTTCTCATGTGTATCAAATTTGCTCTGCCGTGTCCCTGAACCTCCTAAAACCACCTTGTTTACACCTGGAGGATAATCTCCCACCCTGGGAAATAGCACCTTAAGGGAAATGAAAACCAAACCAAACCTGGACATAGAACCAGAAGTCTTGGGTTCTGTTGCATCCTTTATCCCGAGTGACCTTGGGCAAATGAGTTTCTGTGAGCTCCTGATTCTGCATCTTATAAAACAGAACCCCTGTCTTAAAGAGGACATTCTGGCAATTAACAAAAGGAAAGCTTTAAGCACAGCATAGGGTACACAGCAGGTGCCCAATAAAGACATTCATTCACTTGCTGACTGAAGTAAATCAGGAGGAAGAAAGACAGATGCTTCTGCAAGGTGGCAGTTGGCATCAGAGCAGGTTTAAGATCGTCTCGTGGCAAGGAACCAACTCTTCTGAGCCTGTTAGAACCTCAGAAAGTGTGACAATGCCTGTTGAGTAACCACGTGCTCAGCACCTCAGAAGAACACGTAAGTGAACAGCACCCAGCACAGCACTCTGAGGAGAGAAAGAGTCATCAAATTCCCAGAAATAGAAGGGACTTTGAGAGCCAGACCCTTCCATCTGCAGCATAAGACAGCTAGGTAAGGCTGAAGGATTTGCCCGAGGCTCCTAAAGCTCCCTCAGAAAAATCAATCCTGGAAGCAGCAAGGCTGGTATAGAGTGTAATGGGTACTGGCCCATTCTGGAACCACTGAGGTTAGTCTTGAAACCTACTCTTACCTTCTTTATTAACTGAGCAGAGTCACCAACATATCTTTACTTGAAAGGGATCTCATTTTATGCAGCTCCAAGTAACTCTCTGGATGTTAACAACATATATATTTTTTTAAGTTCCAAGACACAAAGATGTTGCATGGGGTTGTTATGTTCACCAGGCAGGAAAGGGTTGAGGCAGCATCCAAATCCAACGCTGACTGTGTTTGCCACAAACCATGTGTGACCAACATAGGCATCATAATCACCCTCTTCAATACTTTCACCTCAATCTCCTCATCTTCCTTTGACCAACTGGCAGCCTAAACACCAATTGAGTATGTCATACCATCCCTGTACCTAAAGCCTCACACATTCACGATTTCTTCCTGCCCTCTGTGGAGCCCTCAGCCCATGAAGAGCAGAAATGTGCTTTCAATCACCACACAGTATGCTTTATTTTTCTCCAGGCCAATGAGCCTCTCCATGGTGGCCCTCCGGTTGCAAACCCCCTTTGTCCTGCAACTGGCCTCAGCAGGACCTCCCAATGGGCCTCAGCAGGACCTCCCAAATGGACCTCCCTTAAAATACATTTTTCACACAGTATCTAAAACAACAGTGCAAAATTCAGAAGTGTACATCACACTCTGGCCTAAAGCCATTCAATCGTCTCTTTAGAGAACCAGGAAGTTAAGGCTGGGCCTGCTGCCATGACATAGAGGTTCTGCAGGACCTGCCCTGCCTCTCCCAACACAGGCCCTCTGCCTTCTGCCCTCCAGCCATGGTGAGCCTTCATGGGCTCCTTGATCACACCACAGCGATCTGTCGGTCTGTGGGTATCCTTCCGCTTGCCTGGAACACACTGACCTTATCACACCATACCCCTCCCAGTCCAGTCTCTGGTTCCAGATAATGCCAGCCCCCTGACATCTACTGCTACCCCAAACCACACCAAATGCTCTTCTTCATCTTTTACCTACAGCAGGGATTGTGCCTTCAAAGTCCTGGGCACTGCTATCCTTGAGCATATCTACGACATCCTTTGGGGAATGTACTTGTCCCTCTAGCCTTCCTGAGGTAGGAATCCTGCTGATTTTCAGCAGCTTTGATATTCCCATTTCTCCTCATACTGAGATTTAAACAGGTATTACAGGAATAAGTTCATTAGTAATTGGATGCAGTAAGAGACACACAAAAATACAATCCCCATTTTTCTCTGCCCATTGGCTTTCACAAGGGGTGGCATGTCAGTGACCCATCTCATATCTGTACCTTCAGAGTCAGAGTCCAGCAGAGAGCACTGCCCGAGGCTTTCAACTGCTATGTGGTCTGTCTGGCTTTCAAGACTTAGAACATCATGACACTACTGCTCTCCCCTTGCACCTTTATCCTGAATATTGACAGCCCTGCTTAACCTTGTTTCCGAATAAACTGCCATCGTAATTAAATCCCAATGCATTCTGCACATTTTACCAAGATACTACTGCCTTACTGTGTGTGAGAGACAATGAGTTTTGAAATTAAAGCAGATTGTTAACTATTTTTTGCTGTAATGTTTCTATTAAAATGCGAGCATTTATTACACGTGACCTAGTCCATTTCGGACGAAATACAATTTAAAACAGATAGGGTCTATCTAACTCAAGGAGCATTTCAGGCAAAGCATTTTGCCTCAGCTTCAACCATGATTAAAGTGAAAAGAAAACACCATCTCACTGAAGGATTATTTGCTCCAAAACAAATAAAAGCTTTATTATCATGAAAGGCTTTCACAAATTTTCAGAATCCATTTTTTTTTTTAGACCATCAGCTAGCCACGGGGACCTCTACTTGGTGCTCCAGCTTGGTTGCCCAGGTAGCACACACAATGTTATGACACCTGGTTATGCTAACAAAGCCATTTTCTTGCTCATGACCCAAACCACTGAGTTATTTCAATGGCTGGATTCTGGAGTGCTTCTCACAGCTCTGCCACTAAGCACATCAAGCATCTACACCCTATCCCACA